GTGTGTGTGAAAGAGGTGGAGATAGATATGGAGAGAGTGTCCCCTCCTCCTCATTCATACGCATAATATACTCGGCTACCTGTTTGTCAGCCCAGTGCACGTACGGCGGAGACTCGATTGCCCCTCTCTCTTCTCCGTCACTCTCATTCATCTTTCTCTCTCTCTCTCTCTCTCCTACACTTCATCTCCCTCTGGCTCGCTCTCTCTCTCTCTCTCTCTCTCTCTGCTCTCCCCGTTTCCAGTCATTCACAATCGGAGGACAACACCACCTGCTACCAGGTAACAAAAAAAAAAGAGAAAGAAGCCATTTGATATCCTCTCTGTTATCGGCAGTGATTTTGATGTGTGTGTGTGTGTGTGTGTGTGTGGGAGGTGATGTGAGTGACATGATGTGACTGCTGGGAGGATTTTTCTCCATTCAAGGCTTTGTTATTTGCAAAAGGCTGCTACATCAATGAGCCAGTGTGTGGTGGGAAAAAAAACAACAAGACTCATTTGTGGAATCATACTCGGAGCAAACGGAGACATTTGAAATGAATATTTGTTTGCCGTCTTTAAACATATGCAGACAGTGCAGCTTCTGCCGTGAGGGTGTTTGTGCGTGTGTGTGTGTGTGTGTGTGTGTGAATGAAGGAGAGGGAGAGTGCATATAGTGAGTGTGACTGTGTATGTATTAAAGCTCACAGCTCAGACTGGGAGTGAATGAGCTCCCTGTGTTGTGCATCCAACCTCCCTTGCTTGGCATGTCCCCCCCATGTGGACTGGGGAGCACTCCCGGGGTGCACACACACACACACAGACTCCCCGCGGGCTCTCCTTTCAGTCCCCGCGGGGATCTGCTATCAGGCTGCTGCTTTCTGACTCGCCGGCTAATGCTAATGCTCGGCTGACATTGCGGTGGAAACACAGCAGCAGACGAGGCCATTTGTTGCTCAGATCACATGCGAGATGAAGATTTAGTTTGACGGTGAAACAAGTTCAAATCAGCGCGCTGTTTTCACTGTGTTTCAACACGGAACTCTCAGTGAAATTCCTACTTTTGGCCTCGACATCTGAATGAGTTGAATCATCTCGTTGTTTCAGTTGGAACTTAAATTGCTTATTAAGTAGCTTATATTCAAGCTAACTTACATATTTTACTCATAAATCTGTTGTCTTTTGAAATACTGCACAATTTCCTCCTAAAATGTGGCCCAAAAGAAGGTTTTGAAACAGTTCATTTGATGGAATTGTTCAGAATACTATAGCTTAGTTTCTCATGCTAACTGGTCCGGTGTTCTTTGTCATCCCCACGCATGTCTTTTCCTCTCCGGTTCCTCCTGAAACACCGGAGGAGTATCAGTGTACTACGGATTCAAGACTCCCAAAGTATTGATTTTTTCTCTCCAAAAAAAGCTGTATAGCTTCGAGGAGGGAGGCACCTCCGACTGCCTCTCTCTCTCTCTCTCTCTCTCTCTCTCTCTCTCTCTCTGTAGTCGGTGAGGATGCTGAAAGATAAATTTAGCCCTCCAGCTCTCCTTCCATCTGCTGCCACATGGTTTAGGGCCGTTACCATAGGAACCACCGCTGGGTGCCCATTAGTGTGAGAGGAGGAAATTGATAAGATTTTTTAAAAAGCCATTTATACAATATTCTCTTTCTGCGCGCGGTGTGTGTGTGTGTGAATAGATGCAACATTTCAGTTTTTGGAGTTCACTTGAGGTGATGTGTTTCAGCACCTGCAGATTTGCAGCCAACTCTGCAGATCGTAACTGAATGCACACACTGCACATACATCAGCAAATGTGTTTCATATTAGCCCACACAGATTTTGGGGATGTGCACTAAATGCCATATGTATTTATACTGTACACATTTCTCATATCACCGCCTAATGGCCTTATGGGAAACTTTTTTTCTCTCTCTCCGTGGGATAGGCTAATGTTCATGGAGGACGTTGGCCCAGGTGTGATTAGTAATATTAATGATGGCGGCATTACATTAAGGTGTTGCGGTTCCATGAATCTAGTATTGTTCGCACTGAGTCACTGGTATGGCTGACTGGAACACCATAAAAGGAACAAAGCCACGAATTGTATTAGATTTGTCAGAATGTCTGCGGAGAAAATGGTCCGTTGTGTTTTGGAAAAAATGTCCGACAGTGATTTAAAAAGCCACTCCACCTCGTTAGCTTTATAACATTGTCAGGAGTATCTTTTATTCCGCGCTTTCTTGCCAAAACCTTGCCTACATTACCCACAATGCAACTCGACTGCCGACAGTGAGGTAAAAGAGTTAATAGTTCAGCTAATGTAGCCTCGAGCGTCTAGACTCCACACCCCCAGATTATTTTTCATTCTCAAACTTTTAGTCTTAATCCCCAACCAAGGCGGACTCGGGTGATGTCACTTGAGGCAAGGTATCCGATTTCGCACAATTCTTTCTGTAACCTCAAAATGCTTCATACAACTAGTTTCACATATGCTGATCGTTTACTTCCTGTGAACAAACTTTGTATACAATCAGTGGAGTTCCTCTTTTAGGAGGAGATGTGTTGGTATTTGATGGATTGTAGCTATAGATGGACGTTGGTATTCTTACTAAATATATAGTAAACGTGTGTGCCTTTTTAATTAACACTGAGGACGTTACACCCAGACGTGTAATGAGGAGAGCCTTCCAACAGTTCACCTAGAGAGACTCATTGAGGCCGGGGTTCATATGCACCATAAGAGGTGCAAATGAACAGTCTGAAGTTAAATCTGGAATAAGTGTGACACGTGCAAGTGTGAATGAGCAGATGCGTTGCATGATTTTAAAGAGTGTCACTTGGTCTTAGTTGCCAGTTTTGTCCTGTAAGTGCTCAATCTGAAATGTTTTTCCCTCTGGTCATTGTCACCCTCAGGCAGAGTGTGCGGGGGCTCCGAGCGTCTCACGGTCTGAACTCTGAGTCTGACTCTCCTTCAAAAGCTTTTAGTCCGGTTACATTACCGGTCGGACGTACATTTAGCACTTGTAGTCTCACTGCAGGAGATGTTAAGATGGATAAAAGGTGATGTTGGTTTAATATTCATCCAATACACGCACCCACAAGTTAAACCAAAGACGGTTATCCACCTGTTACCAGTAATTTGGATATAATCCAGCAGCTTTGCCGTCTTCCACCAGAACGTGGGTGTAGAAACCAGCTGGTCCGTGCGTGGGATGCCTTGTTTACTGTGTCAGTATGCTGGCACAAAGTAACATTGGGAGTTCTCTTCAGTATCTCAACTCACACCACCTTGTGTATGCACTCACAGCTAACAGCCGACCCTTACCTTTTATTTGGCTTGGCTTTTTTTTCAAGTATTTAAAAGATTCATACACTATTAGGTAATGAAGCAGACCTCCATGTCCTCTAATGTGGCAGTACTGTACATGAGCACTGTCTGATGATTATCATTTTGAATGAAGTGTGGTTTGATAATGGAAGACGCAACATGTCAAACATGCAGTATTCATTCGAGCATGCTGAGACACTGTGCCAGGTTCACGTGCCACAGTCCCTTAGTTAATCCCAGTGCAATTAATTATGCAAAAAAAACTTTATGCACGGCAACTCCAGTCAGTCTTGAAAGATTTAGAAAAAAACAATATTGCTAAAGCATCAAAATAATAATAATATTCTTCATTGGGTATCGTTTTTCCCATGCAGAATTTTTACACCGAAATATTACATAAACCATTCTAATTTAACAGTATTCAGCAGCCGTGGGAAAGTGAGAGCTCAATGTTATGACACATACAGTGATTATGTAACATATAACATAAATATCTATATTTGGCCAGCGGGAGGGTCAGAGGGTTGTCTGTGTTTCCAAGTTGAATTGAATGCACTGTTTTATATAATGAGTTTGTTTGTCTTCACAGATCTTCATGTTGAGAAGAGTGAAGAATCCTAAATTCAGTTAACTGAGCATCCGACTGTGTGGCAGCAGGACTGGCCGAGTGCTTCACGATGGGCTACTTTAAGTTTGCATGGCAGAGGACTTCCTCCACAGCACACGACATATCACGGCTGCGTTCTCTGATGCCGCAGTTCTACATTTGATGGCATCATTCTTCTGTCGAGCCATAAAGTCCAAGCAAAACAAGTGGGGATTATGAAGTCAACCGAAGTGGATGTAATTTAATAGAATTCACTCACATTCAACCCATTCTCCAGTTAATGATTCGGCTTGAACTCTGTAGCCTGACACAGGCGGACGCATCCCACGTGTCTACCTGAGGCTGTCCTTCCATTTTATGGAGGCCTCGCATAGTCGCCTGACGACTGGGGAGCAGTCCGGAGGTCAAGAGCATTGTCAGCCAGAGTCTCCTCACCGAGGGCCGCAGCCCAAGTCTCCCTCCCAGCCCCGGCGGCAACAGCAAACTGGCTCCCCAAAGCCCCGTGGCACACTGCAGCAACCCAAACAGTCCAGAAGACAGAATCCTGAGCGTAAACGTCTCAGGCACCAGCGGCAGAGCGTTGACTCCGACGCAGCACTGGAACACAATCATGAGGCAACAAAAGCTACCACAGCTTCTAGTTTGTCGCCAGGCTCGCCTTCCTCAGCAGGTGGCCCCACCCAGTCCAAACCCGAAACCCAGGACGGCACCCCGAAACAAAAACGTGAGCGCAAGCCTCAGAGACCGGGCAAATATGTCTGCACTTACTGCGGCCGTGCGTGTGCAAAGCCGAGTGTCCTACAGAAACATATTCGCTCACATACAGGGGAAAGACCTTATCCCTGCGCCCCATGTGGCTTCTCTTTTAAAACCAAGAGTAACTTGTACAAACACCGCAAATCGCACACCCACAGGGTGAAGGCAGGTCTGGCACTTGGGGAGAAGAGAACTTTGGAAGAGCAAGTCACCGAGTCAGAAGATGAAACCAGACAGCTTGTATCGGCGTCTTCCCTTGCAGAAAGACAAAGCAGTGTAGCCTCAATCAAGAGTCATGAAACGGACAGGGCCAAAGATTGCACCGGAGGAAACGATGACTCTCTTGCAGTGAAAAAGAGACTGGCCATGCGTCTGAGTCGAGGAAAACATGGTCCTCGAGACTTATCTGATGAAAAGACTTCCTCTCTAATTTTAGGGAGTAAAGGCAGTACAGAATCAGGCTATTTCTCTCGCTCTGAAAGTACTGAGCAGTCACAGGACAGTCCCCCGAACACAAGTGCCAAAAGCTATGCAGAGATCATCCTCGGCAAATATGGGCGTCTCGGACACCTACAAAGGATGTCCCGGCAACATAACCAGCAGCCCTCTGGTCAGGAGGACAAAAGCATCACATTCACAGTCCCTAAGAAGCAGGTCATCGATCATATCACCAAGCTCATCACTATCAACGAGGCAGTGGTTGACACCAGTAAAATTGACAGTGTAAAGCCAAGGAGATTCTCACTCTCCAGGAAGAATAGTTCAGAGTCACAAAAGAGTTCCTCTGTGAAAGATTCATTAATTCACAGCCCTAAAGCTGGAGATCTGGGCTATAAAAACAGTGGCTCCATCACCATGGGAGTTCCATGTGAAAAATTTCATCATCCATCCCTAAATGTGGAGCGGCCAGCTGGCCAAACATCCACTGCCCCTTTGCTGAGAAGTCACTCAATGCCATCTGCAGCAAGTTCATTTGACGCCTCCACTGGTGGCCTCAGCAAGTTCCGCTTAACTCAGTCCTTTGATGAACGACAGCCCTCTGAAACGCCGGCATCCCGTCCTTACCGGATGCTGAGACGTCAGCCGGCTATTGAAATCCCGCTCGGTGCTGAACTAACAAAAGAAGGACAAGAGGGTTCTCGTTCACTTTACCCTGACAGCGTCACCACTGTGCCTGACCACAAGCAAAGCCAACCGCAGCCATATGAGTGCGAGGCCTGTGGCACTGGATGCAAAGATTGGGAGGGTTATAAGAAACACAAGAAAAGCCTGTGCTTAGCACAACATCCCAAAAATGAGGTGGTAATTAGTCAAACGGGGTGCTCACAGCTAATTAACCATGCAGTCAGAGCAGGAACTTCAGCAATGCGCAAGAGAAGGAAAGAAGAGAGTTTTGAATTTGATGATCCCTCTTCTCCTTCATTGCCTTCTCCTGCCCTCTTGTCAGGACCGTGTAAAGACGATGTGTCTTATGAGGGGCCCAGAAGACCTACACTACAAACCTGTTCAGTAATTCAACACACTCGTTCATTTGAAAAACAGGAATCTTTTTGCAATGATAGTCAAGGCACCGAGGTAACAAAAAACTCTCCACCTCATGAAGAATATCAACCAGTGCCTCAGAAACAGCCCCAGCATTCGACAAAACTAACAGCTCGAAAGCTGGTCCTCCAACACAGCGTGCAGGTCCCGGAAATACTGGTTACAGAGGATTCCAACATGAGCGCATCCACCTCGATAGAGCCAACGTCCACGGTAAAACATTCAGAGAAACCTGATGAATTTCAGTGGCCACAGAGAAGCCCCTCTCTGGCCCAGCTCCCCATTGAAAAGCTTCCTCCAAAGAAGAAGCGCTTACGTCTCGCCGAGGCTGCCCAATCCTCAGGGGAATCCAGTTTTGACTCCATATCACTTCCTCGCAGCCCTAGTCAGGACAGTAGTGCATCTTATGCATCTAGTCGTTCCACATCCTTCGAAGAGTCAAATAGACCAGACATGGAGATCGCAGGATCAGCACCACTGAGGAGATCGAGAGCTCCTCACATGTTGACGGTGCCTGGGGTGCATCAGCACAGAGAGATGAGGCGCTCGGCATCAGAGCAGGCGCCTCACGACCCACTACCGAGTGTCCTCATGGCTGAGACCCGCAGTAAGTCTTTTGACTACAGTTGTCTGTCCCCTGAGCGCTCCGCAGTTGGCTGGAGGGAAAGACGAAAGTGTCTCCTCATGAGACACACTGCAATCAGAGATCCAGATGAGGAGGAGGAGGAGCAGCAGCAGTGTGCCATGCCGAGCCGTAGTCCCGAACATGTCAGCTCCACCACGTCTTCTAAAGCGAGCCCGACTTCTGCGTACTGCAGCAGGTCCCCTACCTCCCCTTCATCAGGTGACACAGTCTTGCGTAATCCAGTAAGACTACAAGGCAAAGAGATCTTCTCTCAGTGGAAACTCAGTCAAAATATTCAGTTGACGGGCAGCACAGAACTCGCATGTATAGATCCTGTAAAAGAAGAGGCCTCACACATCCATACAGAGCAGCCGCCTCCTCAAGCGCCGCAACCCTATCCTACACATGGACCATCAGGGGCGGCCAGAGCTCACTATCTCCCCATGTCTACAGGGCTGAAGCTAGAGATTCCCTTACTACATGATGATTATTCAGAGGTTCGAGTAAATCCCTCCCACATCCAGCACTCTGTCCCTCACATCACTTCCAGTCTGGAAGTCCTGAGGCCGGTCCCATCTCCAGCTGTGGCGGTGCGTCTCCAAACAGACACACTCACCCTAGCGTGTGCCATATACACTACATTCTCTCAGTCCACCACCCCCAGGCCCCAGGAGGCGGTTGATGCTGTTCCACACGATATGGGCAACCCAACAGCTGAATACAGAAACCATAGGAACACAAGTCCAGACCCTCAATTGTGGTCCGACGATGGCCTCAGGATATCAGGCCCAGGGGGCAACAAGCGCATGCTTTCCCCTTCGAGCAGTATAGAGCTCCCCCCTGAGTCGCAGCAGCAGCAGAAACGAGTGAAGGAAGAAGAGGAGGGGAAGGCGGGATGTGTTGACAAGGCATCAGTGGACACATGCAATCAGGAAGTCAAAAGGGAAAATCAGACATGTCTACCCAGTGTTTGTTCTCCCATTGCACATGTTGGCCCATCGTACCCCAGTCTGCTGTCCAGCACCTGTAATAGCTGGTGCTATTTGAACTACATTAAACCAAACCCGTCTACTCTGGATGAACAGAAGCCCTCAGTGTATTCGTCGTGGTCTACCAGCGGCTATGACCCCAACCCACCTGGCCTCTCAAGCAAGACAGCTCTCTCTCTCCTGCACTGCAAGCAGAGGCTCAGTCCCTCCATCTACACTGTATCCCCCATGACAGTCAGGACCACTGAGTCAATGGAGCAAGAGGACAACAGAAGACCATGCTCCACCGAGGTAATTACAAAATGATTACAATTGTAAATCTGTATTTAAATAGAGAGACACGGAAGTCTGAGAGAGGGGTAGTTTGACATGTTTAACAAATGCTATTAAACACAACGTTCAATGAGACTTCCCAATTTTTGTCTCCCTGGGCATGCTGGAGCAGAGTTCGTGAATTTGCCCATGTCTCTTTCGGGTGTAGGTTTACAACAGCCAGTCGCACTGCAGAGACCACGAGGGAACAACGAAGGGGCCGCTGTCAGCAGAAGACGACGGGTCAGACAGAAATGAAGAGAGGGAGGCTGAGAAGAAGAACGTGGAGGAGGAAGTACAGTCGTGCTCCAGAAATAAACAACCTCCCGAAGTCTGGATCTCTGAGAGAGGGTGAGTATGAACTCATGTATGACAGCTCAGCATTTTCAGTTGGAGAACATTAGCTGATAACATCAAGTTTACACTCTCTGTATTCACAGCATTAAATCCCTCGTTACTGCTTGCGTCATATATTGTGGTATGTTGTGGAAGCCGTTGTCTGTCCACCATGTTGCAGAGGCCATGGGTTGGCTGTCTGCACCAACAGAGCCCGTCTGTTGAGGGGCTGAAGCCAGGAAACTACCTAGTTCCTTTACGCCTGTAGAGATTAATTTACACCAACCATCACAGCCATTCACATGGAGCAGCAGCACGTTTCATTCTCTTCCACTGACACCAATGGAATGAGTAGAAAATATACAGTGTGTACATGTACGTACTTGGCATTAAGTCATTAAAGGGAGCCTGATTGGGCAGAAAAACAGACAAACTGAATAACAAGAAACGCACTGGAGTCTAAGAATATTTCAACATGTATTCATTTGTCTGTCATTTTATTATGAATTGAGTATTCCCCAGGGAGGTTAAAGGTGCAACGTATAACATCTGAACACATGCTCCAAATAAATCGGGGGCAGCATTTTAGGCCTACTACTTGGTCCACACAACTAATTTTACAGTCATCAGTTCTGAAAAAAATGTAATAAAACTAACTACTAACAGTAGGGCAAGAATACGCAAAATTTGATTAAACGGCTGAAACTCCGAGAGCTACCAGAGCTCTCGCCCACTCCTCTCTCGGTGAAGTAGTTTTCTGTCTGCGGGGAGGACGACACAAAAATACAAGTCGTTTTCTCGTTTCTGCCACTTTGGATTCAATCCAATAAACAAACTATCATAATGCACACGGACCCTGTGCCTTGACAAGCCCCCGGGGCAGCTGTTGGACTGAGGGCAGACTGACCTTCAGTGACTCACTAATGCCTCTCGAGGAACAAGTGGTTTTACAACACAGGAGGAGCCGGGGCTAGCTGGTTAGCATGCTCATTCTAGTAGATATCTCTGCAGCACAATACAAAGATGTCTTTGATATGATGTCAACGCTGTGACCTCTTAACATTCTGTAGATATTGTTCATTTTTTGAATGTTTTAAACTAAAAAGTGTGTCACAATAGCAACCTTACTTCTGCTTAATGCTATATTACCAGATGACGCTCACTGAAATGACGCTCACTGAAATGGACCAACAATGAGATGAAGCTAACCATGAACAACACACCCTGAGGGTGTCCTGATGTAGAAAATACTGGACTCTTTGTGTTGTTTGTCAGGACGCTTTGCTGCATACAATGTGATTCTTTTCCACGTTATTTAATCGTAAATGATAATAGTCACGGATCAGAAAGGTCATTTAATCCACGTAAACAAAGATAACATGAACAGCAACGACTGATTCTTAAGTAAAGTTAAATGCAGTATGCAAATATGTACGGGTGTGGATTCATTTTGACACAGTTCTGTTATTTATTTGTCTTAATTGAAGCACGCGCACTTCTCAAATTCATTTGCAGCGAGGTTAAACCAGACACGCTCAGTACTTCTGATACCTATCAAAAATAGACGCTGCTGTGATGCGGGGCGAGTGCAGAGAGGTGCCATCTGTGTGTCTCTATTTGGTTCGGGAGTGTGAGTGTGTGTGTGTGTGTGAACAAATCCCTGTTGTGACTCATGTTGACGCTCCTCACAGCCTTCCCAAAAGAGTGAGTCATCCTCACGCCTGCTCGCTTTCCCCTTCACTGTCTGTTCAGTCTATCTGAAGGACAAAAAGACCAAACTGAGGGAGCGAGGCAGTTGAACATTGCCATTTTTTTTGATGTCAGGAAAGACGAAGGCAAAAGCACCGAGACTCCAATCTTGGGCGTAAATGGGTGCTGCATGAAAAGCCTATGAATATAGCTGCTTTATAGTAAAGGAGTAAAGTGTCCCGGCATGGTTTTAAAGTGTTTCTCTTTCATTCACTTTTTCAAGACTGTAAAAGCCATACCTTTTATCCAGCCGCGAAGCCTGTAGTGAAAATATAGGGGAAAAAACAGCCGATTATAATCAGAGCGATTGTTTCTCGTAGGAATGTGTTTTCATTTTCTGTGTTTTTTCATGCTTATTTGGAGCAGCAGCTGGTCTGGGCCAGGGCTTCCCTCCCTCTCCGGCCTGTTTTTATTGGCTGGCTGCAGCAAACCCCCGGACCTTGGGCCACATCGTAGGCTCCCCCCCTTTTTTGGACATGGTGGTGGTGTGAGCTGTGATGGAGTTATAAGGCCGTGGGAGGGTGGGGGTGTCTGGTTTTGGCTTATGAAAGCTGCTCTGTTGAAGCTGAAGTAGGTGCCTCGCTGAGGGACCCTCAGTGTACACCGAGGGGTGGACCCCGGGCCCAGCTGCCACAGTGTGAGCTCACTGTGCAGAAAGGGCCAAACAGATAGTGTACTCACACTGGATAAATACAGGCACTAAAGGGGCTGCTTACAGGTGCTAAAGGGCCTGCAGACAGTCTGTCAGCTCCAGTTACACTCATATTGATTGTGACTATCATCCTGAGAGGAGTGGCATCGATGGACAACTGACAGGGAAAAGCTCTGAGGACGAAACTGACACCTTCCTGCTCTCTTCACACCCACAGATCAAATGAGAAGTACGGTTTCGTGCACGGCGGAGGGGGAGGGAAGTGCCAGTGCGAGGACTGTGGATTCCACCTGAAGAATACCACGAGTGTGCTGCAAAAGTGCCCCCATCGCATCACAGAATCCCCAGCATACAACTGCAAACACTGCAACCTTTCTGTCAAAGCCAAAGGTAAGGAAATCACTGGTGACGTCTGTGTTCACCGTGCATCCGTTGTGAGCTCAGCCTGTCTGTTGTATTTCACAGGAAGCCTCATTGAACACTTGACATCTGAGTCCCATGGAGAAGAAATCTGTTGTTACCCAGACGGCACAGATGAAGGTATGCTATGCTGTTATATTGCATCTACTATCAAATATCTGCTCTTTTAATGCTAAACTGTATTAAACCATGGTCACTGAATTTAGTGTGTGTTTGTTTCTAATACTTTGTAAATGACATGCCCTGTGCTCTCTTCTTCTTGTACCGACTTTTCCATATTAGCTTTCTAGGTTAATATCTCTTTATCTATGAGCATGGACCAGCTTGTGTTGCACCTTGGTATGTTAAAGATGCAACCAAACAAATATATCCACTAGGAGAAAATGCTTCAGCTTCAGCACACATTGAAGCAACAAGGATGTGCTTTGACGCTGTTGGTTGGTCTTTTAACTTCCTGTCTGCACCGGGAGGTGCAATGTGTCGCGTTGTCATCACCTCTCAGCTACATTAGATCAAATATCTGAGCAGTTTTATAATATAACGGACTGACGAGAGTCATAAGAACATGGTCTGAAAAACGTCTATTTACATAGCGTCGCTAATTAGATCAGTTCTCTCTGCCTGCACAGCACCAGGATCAGCTGTCAGCAGTCATGTTGCTGTTATGAATATGGTGGCTGATCAGACTGTTGCTATTTGTTTTGTTGTGTGTTATTAACATGATGACATCATAGCAGAAGCTGTCTGAGTGTGGAAGTTCAAAACGTCTGCTTATATGATTCCTTTGATGGCTCAGCAGTCAGTCAAACACAACAGCCTTGGAAGCTAAAGGAGCATTTCTGAAGTACATCAGATGACATTATTTTCTACTTAACACTAATTTTGAAATTCATTTCACCAAAATGGAGAACGTTTGTGATTTCAGTTGGACTTTAAATGTGCTGTGAATGTTAAAGTAACCACAAGGAGCTTTTATTTTGGCCTCTGTGGACAAAGGTGGTAATGTTTTTCCATTAGCCACATGCACTTGTCTTTGACTTGATAAATAACAGCGCTCTAAATTCTGTTGACTTGCACTTTGTCACTTAGATTGAGCAACGTTTCACATTTGTTTGAAGAGAAATGCAAACATTGGTTAGCTGCATATCGAAATCTTGGGCGTCCGAGACGTAAGATACAGTATGTGGGAGGAAGAAACACGGGAGAGGCTGTTAAACGTTACACCCAGGGGAAAAAATGTGCCACAACACGGCACACTTACACCTTAACAGGTCCATATTGTTTCCTGGATGTTTCTCTACACATTGGTGCAGCTTGAAAGAGTCTGAAATTGGAGAGTTGAAAAGAAAACACTTCTACCAGCTGGCTTGACAAGATAGAAAAAAATAGCCCAAATTAGGAAGAAATCTCTGTATATATGTGCATTAGATCAACATGATCGATATCAGCCGGGAGCCCTTGATGCTGACTTAATTTAACTAAAGAATGGAGTTGTTTGTTAGCGTAAGAACATGAGTTCAAAAGAGACTTTTTTTTCTGTCCTAGGAGTCTGTGAAGAACGTCCTCTTCACCCAGATGAACAAAAAGATCCTCGGTACTCCGATCGGGGGAAAAGTCGACATGATGAGGATGACAATGCCAGGGACAAAGATGGCCGAAAAGATGGAGACGACAGGTCCGAGGTGGCTGAAAGCTCTCGCACTGCCTCTTCTGATGGTGAGAAATCTCATCCAGGAGGCCTGCCGATGGAGCCTGAACCCAGCCGGTCCGTCCCGCTTTCCCCTGAGGGTTCGACCCAGAAGAGCCCGGCCGGCGCCAGGAGGGCCATGTTCGCCCGCAGACGCCTTGACGCTTCAACATCGGCGTCCTCCGGAGGCGGCTCCCACTCTCCAAGCGCTCAATCCACAGAGATGCCACAGAGGGAGCCGTCTCCACCACGCAGCTCGTCACCCAGACCTCCTCGCCAGACCCCCGCTCCCCCTTCCTCCCCCTCCTCACCCAGTTGTCATGTCTCCACCTCCGCTCTGAGACCAGTCTCCCCAGTTAGAGGTCTTTCTCCTACAATAGTCCAGTCCTCTGGGCCTCCAGGCTCCTTCGCTCCATCTCAAGCTTGTCTTCACCTAAGAGACCGACCGTCTAACGCAAGACTGGTGAGTCCCTTCAGCTTTTGCTTCAAAAAAACAGCATTTGAATTACTTTCCTCCCTATAATCTAACCCAGCCATTGTTTTGGTCTCGTTCTGAATCTGTCATGATGCTCTGTTTTTTGTCGTGTGTATAATTAACGCTGGTCAAACCGTGGCTTTAGTTAAAAACCGCAGCCTTCACTCACCTGTGACTTCCACCTCTGTTAGTTTAGCCGACGGTTTTAAATACATACAGCTTTTTGGCTCACAAAGCTAATCTTGTGCGGCTCAGTTAAATCCCAGTAAGTCAACATCCAGAACAAATATAGATAGGCTGGTACATATGAGGGTATTTTAAAGTTGCACAGTTATTGGAAAGGGAAGTAAAAGGCAACTCTCTCCTGTTTTATATCACTCGAACCTTAAAATAATGCAGGAGAGCTCCCAAATAGACGCGACATGTTTTCCCTGGGCAGCCGCCGATAAAACGAGACGCGGGCCGATCGTTAAGCACCAAAGATTGGAACCGCACGTCGACGACGAAAAACAACGTGGGCGAATATCATCAGTTCACCCGGCTTAAATAAATAAAAAATAAAAAAACTCCAAACGTGTGGTTATGTTGTGGTGTAACCTCACCACTTCCTCCTCACACTAATATAGGTCTCACAGGAGTAGATACTAATTCACATTTTGCACACAAAGACGTATCTGTTTACATGTCAGCTACACCTGTAGGTTGGGTGTGTCTAGTAAGGGGAGCCATTTTTAAATATCTAAATATTTGATGGGTACATATATGTAAATACATGCTAAAAAGAAAAACACCACACTTGACTTTCTTTATAATCTCTCTTATATAGATCTTCTTACCGCACATGTTTTTTTAAATTTTTTTTTTTACTGGTTTTAGTACTTTGTGCTTTGTTGCACCTCTTAAACACACCCGAGAGTGATGTCACAGAGTACGGCTGTACATTACTGCGGCTGGATGGGAAGTTAAAGCGCAGACGGTCAGCGAAATCAAGAATTACAAGGCGTGTTACTCGATACTCTTTAAAGTAACCCAGATGAGAGAAGCCCGAATATGTTATGTTGTTCATAACTGTTGGGAACATCCCAGATCCCATGGAATCTGATCTTTTCAATTCAGATTTGGGCCACTTTCATATGTGGTCCTGAATCAGATACAGGTCAGATTCTTTTTGCAGTGGGACCTCAGTCTGAACAGTATTTATGTCACTCTATACCAACATTCGTCACAATTCTGCACTGTTAAGCCAATCACGTCACGATCCCAACACTCCTGGCTCCTACTTCGCATCCACACACACACACACACACACACACACACACACACACACCCCTCTGTACAGAAGTAGCAGCCATTTCTCCCCAAAAAAAAGCCATCGTTAAAAGCTCTGTTTCTCCTTGCCCTCCTTATACTTTGCTCTCAAATTCGCTGGCTTCCACCGTACATCAACTTACTGGACGCTGATATGCAAACTGAAAGCCATTAGCCATACAAAAAAAATCTGAGCAATACATTTAAATTGGGCATTAAGGCTTGCAGCGAGAATGTAGCCATAGTCTGGAATAATGTATGAACTGTCTGGACCTCTGCGACCTGATGTGAACTCAACATCTCTGTCTGCTTCAGCTGCTAATACAATGTGCACTCACAGAGGCAGCTTCAAACTAAGTCCCCCAAAAATATCTATATACTGTATATACATAACACATAGCAATGCTTTTTTTGATATTATTACTAAATTCATATGAACCTTTTTAACCTGTAGGGATGAAAAGCCTAACTTACAGCTCTTCCCCAGAACCACCAAGGCCGAGCAGTTAGTGTACTGATCGAATCATTCAAGTTCCACCTCATCTTGTTTTCTCGTAGGCTGTGGATGAGGTCGGTCTCAGCCACACCACCGCACATCCCACGCGGCCCCGGGGAGCCCACACCCTGCTGAGTCACCTCCCTCTGCACTCCCAGCAGCCGAGCAGGGCCCCGAGCCTCCTGATCCCCATCGGGGGGATTCACATGATCCAGCCCAGGTCCACCCTCCCCCTGTACAGCCTGGTGAGCAGCCCCATAGCAGCCATGGCAGGCCCTGCCGGGAGATCCTGGAAGCTAAGTGACGCTCCGAAGGGGAGGTTTCCTCCAATGCGGCGCCAAGATACTCTCAAAGCGACGCCGCCCAGCAGCCGAGCCGGCCCGCCGGACCCCGAGGCGTTGGGGGGAACGTCCGGGAGCGGCCGACCGGACGCTTCATTGCACAGAAACAGTCGAGGTTGCTTCGGCGTCCAGCGGCCGTCCAGTGCCGGGACAGAGGCGGGGCATCCGGAGGTCATCACAGACGCACACGTTACAGAGGTGTGTGTTTACCCCGAGTCCACCCAAGGCCAAAAAAAGGCTCCTTCCTCCCAGACACAACTCTGATAGGAGGGAGAGTCTGAAGGGACAGTGCAAAAGACTGAGAACCAGAGCCTGTTGCTAAAACACGGCACTGGCTCGGAGACCGAGGACAAAAAGGCAAGAGCACTTCAGCACCGCTTCTGAATGACGCTGTTATGTAATTATATGAATAACATATATAGACACTATGTTAGATATGCAGTATGTTTTGTAAATCTTTTTTTACCCTCTTGTTTGATGTCATCGGTGTTAATTTATTTATGTGCTATTATGCAAATTCTGTACTATATGCAAAAGCAGCTGGAATGAAAATAGACAAAGTTTGAATCAGTTTCCCTATTAACCCCTTTGACAGCTCTACTATACTATTGCTGTGTTAATGTACTGTATTACCAAAATGGATATGGAAAGGTACCACAAATATTTATTCACCCCGACCAGTATTTTGAAGTGCAATTTTATGTCGAGATTGTGGTTTGAAATGTCATTCTTAAAAGGCTGTGATTATTATTATTTTGTCCGTTTTTTGTTGTTGTTGTTGTTGTTTTTGTTCAAAGAAGCAGGGTTATGATCACCTCCTTTTCTAATGTCTTCAGGAAAAGAAGTTTCAGATGAAGACATTTGGAGTGCACTGACAAATAATTTGATATCCAGAGGAAACCTGTTTCGCGTACATGGTAGCTACGGTACAGTTCTTTTCATAAAACAGATACATGTATTTTTGTGTTGTTGCTTTTATAAATGATACAATCACTCTGTCATGTTCATGTTTACCATTAAACTTCTCATTTTTACAGATTTATATTAAAACTGTGTTCCACGTGTGTTTTTTTTTCATTATTCAATGTGAGCAACACAGAGCTACAGTTGTTGTGCAAATAACACCAACAACTCTTTTTGGGTTAAACTGACCCTTTAAAGAGCTTTAAAATAAAAAAGCCTTATTTTGTTTTCCTGAAAGCTGCAGATACTGAATGTGGCACCTCCCTGTGGCTGTGGTAGGATTGTAATTGATGTTGAAATTCCACCTCTTAGAATGGAAACACCTTTTCGAAAAAACAATGTCGTAGCCTGCCTTGATTTATTCAACTATTTATTTTAATTGTGTGGCGCTTTACTGTGTCATTATTTCCTCTCCTTGTGCTGATTTGGCCGTGAAGGCAGCTCGCCTTTGTTTCCCAGAGCTGAAGGTGTCACATGTGACCACTGGGTGGCAGTAGAAAGCAACTTTAGGTTCATCTGCGCTCACGCTGCCTGTGTGCTGGAAGGGATGACGTCACACACTGAAGGTATCAGACCAATCATCCAGCAGATAACAGACGTACAGCAGCAATAATCCGATAGAGGGTACTTTCACATTTATATTTCTAAGGAGAGACACTATAGGAAAAAACGTTTTTTTCATGATCTGGTGAATTTTGAGATTCTGGGTTGTTTTGCATCTTCTTTCAGACTAATGGAAAGAAAACATCCAACATACACATTAAGGTGTTTATTACTACTTTGTCTGTTTGTGTCGGCAGATTTCTCCTAAATTCTAAATTCACCAAAAGATAGATATAGCCTCATTTACATATTTAAACAACTTGTAGTACAAAGAAATAACATCCTTAATGTTAACCCTATCATGGGTGTCACCTTACATTCGCTAGGGAATTTTTTTTATTATTCTTTTTTATCATTCACTTATTGTTTTATGACAACAGCACTCTACAAACAGCTGTCCCTTTGTCGGATGCCTTCTGGCTCCACAGGAACAACAAGGGCCAAAGACTCCCTTTAAATTGTGTTTCATTTACACAATGATATGATGACAGACAATTATTAACTAAACACCGTGACGTGTTTCCAAAGTCAGACTGCCGTGACAAGGTTCACTAGAAGAGGAGATCCAATCAATATAATCATAATCAAGATGGGAAACCAAACTGGGCATCTGTATCAGCAGGATGACTTCTGTATATCAGAGAGTTTTATTAACTTTACGTTGCTGCTGTTGTTACAAGTTCACCTTAATAAATTATTCTGAACTCAAGATTCACTTTTTCCTGAGCTTTTGACCATATACCATGGGCTTCGATAAGTGGAGGGAACCTGCACCGTTGTCATCACAACACTGAAATTACATATTTAGGTCACATGGTGGTCATATATGAAGGGGGTCATAACCCCTGACACCTGAGCAAGCTCTATTCATCCAAGAAGGCCATGGAATACAACTGAAAGCTAATAAGTGGACCTTGACTTTATTTTATCACAGATATTTTTTTTTCCCCAAATTCAAGATTATGCTCATTTACATTGTTTAATTCAATCTGTTAGCTGGATTAATATAGAACATGAATGGTGCAAGTCTTAGTTAGCTCTGTGAAGAAATATGTCACATGACTCAGAGCTTCCATCGGCTATGTTCATCTTTTAATTGGTCTCACTGGTATCATAACCGACAGATGACTGGTCGTTGCACACAGGTGTAGCAGACACCCTCATCATGTCACTTACACTGAAACCGCCTCATAGTTTAGTTTAGTACTTTCAGTCTTTGTAAGTGATGCTGCTATCAAAGCCTCCATCCACTCATACCTGGGTACATACTCTTCACCTCACTCATATCAGGGTTGTGTCTCTTTGTGTGTGTGAGTCACTGTTCCATGCTTCCTGTCTTTCTTCTTTCGCCCTGTCACAATCCTGATGGTGGTAGTATAGTGTTTTTAAAAAAATCTGTCCTTCTACTTTTATGAAAGTAGACTATACCTTTATTTACAAGTATTGAACTTTGCATTACAAGTTGCATCCGTTACAAAAGTCCTTGATAAACTGTGTGAGAAGGGAACAAAAGAAGAAGGGATTCAGTCAGCGGCTGCAGCAGAGAAGAAGCTGCTGGTGTGTGGACGTCAACAACCCCTGCGTTACCTAGCACCGTAGCTTTGACTCGCCCTATGAAGTGTGTAAAACTGTGCCGGTTCTCCCTTTTCTTTCATATTTGTGCTGATGGGCTGTATATGTTGTGGAAGGATTTTGTTATACACAACTGTTTGTCTGTCTTGGTCGTGCTTTATTCTACTGTTGGCCGCTGTATTATTTTTTCCGACTCGGTTGCTTGTTATGGCGGTCTAAACTATATAACATGAACATGGCCAGTTTACACCGACAATGGCGTCACATTTGCTTCTCGAAATTCCAAGTAATATTTTACACAATCGGCCCCCATTTTTAGACAGAGGTGCACAACAACAGGCTTCTCATTCATGTGACCACTGGCTTTGCAGACCGAAATGATGAAAGTAGCTGGAATATGTTATCAGCTGTAGTTAGCAAGTCAAGCACATTTTTCTGAATGTAAAATAACCCTCAAATTGTAGCCAATGCTATCTGATGATATGTTAACTCTTAGCCTTTGAAGTAACGCTGGTTTAGTTTACCTCTGAAGGCAGTAGGCTGGTTAGCTAGACATGCTAAGTAGCTAACATAAGAGCACATAAACACTTTGCTCTGCACTGAGACCTGATATTATGTTGTTTCCTGTCATCGATTCTGCTCAATGGCCTCAGATCACACTTTTTTATTCAAACTTTTTCCCTGTGTCCTGAATGAGAGGACTTGTTTGTGTGTTATTGTGTCACATCTCATACGTTTAACCTCATGCTAGAGGAATTTCGAAGGATTCAGCAATCACGGTTCCGCTATTTGTTTATCATCGCGTCGCCTCACATTCCTCAGCAGCAGCCGGAAGTTGGAAATAGATAAGAGCTCATTTTATTGCACCGCGACTGACTGCCGTGGCGACATTTTCCTTTGCTGCCTTGTCTGGTGAAAGCAGCAGAGGAAGGGGACACGTTCCTCTAGATTGAGCCCATTCCTCCAGTCTGCACCGCTGGACAAATATTTGCTCTCGATGAGTATTGTTCTTCTTCACTGAAACAAATAGTTGGGCAAATGCCAGTCCTTCTGTGTTCTGACATTCTTTTGTCATTCCCCCCCC